ATATTTTACAAACTGAGACCCCACCATCAGTGGTGGCTTGGCTCACTATCTCTGTTGCTCTGGAAGCAACTGTTCCAATGAGTGGTGTGACCTCCTCTACGGCGGTGGGAGAAATATGGCCTTTTCCATCTGGGTGCTTTCACTCTGATTGGCAGGGACTGAGCTGGGCCAGTTTGCACAGTTACTTTCTTTGGAGACGGACTTCTTCCCCTGGAGTTGAAGCTACGGCATTTCCAAGCATCAGAACCAGGTTTAAGTAGAAAATAGAATCCAGCAAAGAATTCACTGTGATTTTCAGAGTGCTTGGGGGACACCAGTAAGCTCCAGGGTTGGTTCTGAATTTTAGTTCTGTCATGTTCTACTTATGTGATTTCAAGCACTGAATGTCTCCAAACTTCAACTTCCTCATATGCAAATGGATGTAATGTATTAGGATGCTGGAAAAGCCATGATGCATTTTTGCGACGAAAAACACAGAAAAAATACTTCATGACTTTTCCAACAACCCAATACATATGGTAAAGCATCACTGGCAGTGTGGATCCTGTGTGTAGGTATATGAGACACCGCCTCGGATGTGTGGCATACATGGTGTACCTATAATCACAGTTCTCCTTGAAATGTAAAGTCTTACGCGATGTTTCTCCAATTCCCAGTAGGACCCCGCCCTTTTGGCGTAGATTTAATTTATAATTCATCTTTTACTCCTGGCACACTTTCACTTAAAAATCTTAAGATCCATTTTAGCGTTCCTATTTCTTTTATGTCCCTCTCCCATCTTCCTGGCCTTGGCCCCTCTAGACACCTACCTGCCTCTCTTGGGGGTGTGTCTGGTGCATTTGCCGATTGGGTGACTCACAGGAGTCATTCATTGAAGCCCAACCATCACCAAGGTGTGGTTCCCACGCTGCCAGCAGAGAAGCCACTAATTGATACCTCTTGAAAATGACATATTCCTGATGCATTTGAGGCTGGCTGAGGGGCAAAGATGCCACCACCTCTATGATTAGCACTCTATTCATGTAGACAACTATCATTTAAGATGCATGTTTTTCTTTCTTGACATCATTTTTTCCCTTTGACAGTATTCCTAGTATATATTTTCTGTTTATTTTGCCTTATAACCACATTAACCCAATTGTAGTTTTCAAAGGTTTCAAAAAAGCGAATTTCTGAAGTTTGTCCTCTGAGCCCAATGCCCTCTATACCCTACCATCCATGTGGCATCTTGTTAATGGGCAGTGAATTTGTGGGTTTGGTGAATACTTTTGTTTATTTGCTGAAGAAGGGAAATAAACCAGGATCAATTCAGAAGATGTGTGTTGGGGGGCGTGGTGGTGAAGGGCAAACTAAGGAAACAAGCATGTCTCCCGAAAAAAGCAAGAATTACAGAATTTTCTCTCTACATCAAGCAGAAGTTAGGCAATTTATATAGGCACACCTTATATCACTATTTTGGCGAATCAGCAACTTGTAGAAGTTTGTCATACCTTCCCATGTCTGGGGAGAAGTTAGGAAGTTGCAAATGATAAAGAACTGCCCGGAATGAAAGCTTCACGAGGGTAGGAATAAAGTCTTTAATGGTCTCTGTCCTATCCCCACTCTTAACAAAATGCATGGCAAATATTAGGTACTCAGTAAGCATCTGTTAGTAAATGCATTCTGAGCAAGTCCTTCAGGGACTTAGAATGGATTGTAAGTTTTTCCTGATGCATCTTAACTTTTTATTAGGTTGTGGCATAACTAAACCTGAAAGGTAGGTGACATATTTTTATGCTGCTATTACCGAACATAGGCAGTTTCTTAATATTATTTAGGACAAAAAAGAAAGAAAGATGCATTTGGATAGACTGGAGACTTGGAATTCTCAAAGCAGTCAGCACAATTTCTTTAATAACTTCATATATCATTGTGCTGAATTACAGCATTGTTTGCTTTCAAAGTTGTGTTTCTTGGCTTGGGAACGCAGGAATAATTGTAGACTGTGGTTTGCCTATTATCAGCCTGCTATAATATTAGGGCCAAGATGATCCTCAAATTGCCAGGCATCAGCAAGAGGACAAGAAATGAGCCAGAAAACCTAAGTCCCTCATGTTACAAAGTTCGGCCATCTGCCTTCAGACGGTGGGGGCAGTTAGGGTCATGATACACGTCGGAGCAGCCGGGGGGGTGGTCCAGAGAAAGCTACCCAAAGTCACCCAAGGCCTCAAACACAATGTTATATGATGCAGGACAGGAAAGATTCAGACTCCGGCAGGGAGTGAGATGCAGGTAGATAAAATGTCATGCAAAATGTAAGCCTGCAACAATTAAAATAAAAAATTGAGAGCAGCAAACATTTATTGAGTCCTTATGTCATGCATAGTAATGAATGATTTAACTATGTTGCCTCATTTCATTTTCATAAGCATCCCAGAGGGAGAGCTATTTCTGGCATCTCACTTTTACAGAAAAATCAGATACTTAGAGAGGTACAGTGGCTTGGTCAGGGTTTCATAGTGGTGGAACCAGGATGTGAATACTGTGATTATCCCCAAACCTCTTTCTTAAACTTCACACTCTATTTCCTGACCAGTCGTAGACTGCTCAAAATAAGGGAGCTTGTCTCACTGGAGAGGTAACATTGGAACACAGATACAATGAAATAGGGAGAAAAGAGTTTTGCCAATAAAGGGAATCAGGCGTGCCTAAGCCTCAAGTGGAGTTCGAGGCATGTTGGAGGAACAGCTAGGCCAATATGGCTGGAGAGGAATGAATGAGGGGAGAGGAGTGAGAGACAAAGACAGTGGTAACAAAGCTGCATCCGAAGTGGGCTTTTTGGTCATTGTAATGACTTTGATTCTAGGTGATGTGGAAGGTTTTTGAGCAAGGGAGTGTCCCTCTCTTACTCGGTCTAACTGAGAGTGCCAGCCATGGCTTGAGCATGCCTTGTGTGTAGCGGTGTAGATCTATAATGATGCCTTGGACTAGCATGACTATAATGAGGAGGTAAGAGTGTGATCAGTTGCTGGAGGTATTGTGAAAACAGTACCACCAGGATTTGCTGATGTCATGGAGGATGTGGGGTGTGTATGAGAGAGACGAGTCTAGGTTGACTGGAAGGATTTGGGCTGACCATCAGGGTGAACTGAATTGCCATCGACTAAAAGGAATAAAAAAGTAGGAAGACTAACAGACAGTCAAGACAGTGGCCAGTGATAATAGGCACGCTTGGCATCTTAGAAGCCAAGTGAAAACGCATTTCAAGGTGCAGTGATACAGGTTCCCCTTGTCTCATTTCAGCCCAAACCACAGTGTTAAGCACCTGGTTTGTGTTTACTGAAGGGTTGCTTGCTTCACTGGTCAAAATATGCCTCAGGTGATGAATCATCAGGGGGAAACCACGTTTCCTCTCTGATCTTCAGTTTCCCTGTAAGTTATTATACATGAGCAAATTTGGCTAGTCAGGTCCTAAAAAAATCTTCCAGTCTTGCTAGACTGTGGCTTTTTCTGATTTTGTATGATTCCGTGATTCTAAACAAGGCTGAATCCATTCAGGTGGTTATGCATTTTTATGCCAGCCGGAATTTAAGGTCTCTTCTGTTTAGCCTCTTAAAATCAAATGGTCTGGAATTTAATATCACAGTTTTATTTTTGTTTGTTTTTCTTTATTAATATCTTCTTTCTCCTGTGATTTTGTAGACGTGGAAGAAACCGCCGTCCCCTGCAACTTGGAGAGGGCTGTACTGGGCCCCGTGTGGCGGTTAAGAAAACTCTCTCTTTGGTGGGGGCAGGAGGAGATTATCTCAACCCCAATGTTGCCCTGAAATCTGTGTTCAAGATTCAAGAAGACTAGGACTGCTAAGGTATGAACTTGTGATTTTGCTATTTTGTGAGGCAGATACGTTTAAAGAGTTTAATCTTTCCATAGCCTTTTGTCCCCTTCATGCCCCTTCTTAAACAGTGATCTTTTCTTTTGCTGCCGGGATGTGGTGGGATAAAGACATAATGGGGAAACTGAAGGCTGCATTGCCTGGGTGATAAAGAGGAAACCAGAGGGCAGTAAGACAAAGCAAGGGGAGAGATTTGTGTTAGTATCGCTGACCAAAACAAAAGAGAAATTGGGGTCGGTGCCTATGTGATGAGACTTCAGATCGAGAGGTAAGTAGAGAAATTTCCATTTTCAGTGTTCACAGGGAACTTTGGCAAAGCTTTGCATTGCATTTTAAAGTCTTTTGGGGATCTGTCTTTGTATTTCTTTTGGATACACACCCATGCTGGCAGACTTGAAGTTGGAGTCAAAAGATCCCGTTTTTTTTTCTGGTTACAGTGATAAGTGTGTGTGTGTGTGTGTGTGTGTGTGTGTGTGTGTTGTCACACATGTGTATTATATGTATATGCATCATATGTATATACGTAGTATATATGTAGAATTTGAGTGGTGTCTAATGACTCTCTCTGTATATGGAGGGGCTGGGGTGAGAGGGACAGACGGAAGGAGGAAAGAGATACCGTTAATGGTGTGGTCTGTAGGTGTGCTTCTTGTGAGTCAGCCATTGTTATAGAAACTTCCGAAGGGAAAAAAAAAATCACAAGTACAATTGATAACATCCACCTGGGATGGGATTCCTGTTCTGGGAAACCAAAGGAACGATGAGGAGGAAAGGTTTTCTAAGGCTTTGTAACAAGGAAGGGTCAGGGGCCAGACTCATTCCCAGACTTGTTAGAATTGAAGTCTCTATGCTCACCTACTTTATAGAACAATAAGATTGCATACACTGTGGTTAAAAGCACTGGGACAATGTGGTTTAACTGCCTGAGACCACGTGGCATGTCCACAAGAAACTCTAGAATGTGTCTGACAATTCCATTGATAACTCCTTTGCTATCATTTTAATTTTCTTAAAAAATAAACAAAACCACAATCCAAAGGCTCCTGGGAACTGGGAGAACAACATAGCTCAGGTGTTGGGCTGGCTTCCTTCTCATGGCAAATATACCCCACCCCCCACCCCCGTGTGTCATTATTTGTTCAAGGTAGAGGCCCAGCACTGATGGAAATCAAATTCGTTCTAGCAACAGGCCTGCTTTGATTTTACCTCTGAATTTCTCATTGCTGAAATAAGTGTGGTGTGTACTGTAGGCCGATCACAAATAGATCTTCCTTTGAGGCTAAAGCACATGTACTTTCTACCTAATTTCTGTAAAATCCTCCAATGCCCGTGCAAAAATTAAGAGCTCTGATATTCTCATTGCTCATAGTGCTTTGGAAAGAGCCCTAAGGGACTGATGAAAATGTGATGGTGGTATTCAAAACAGACTCTCCTCTTCCCTGTATTCAGGAGATTTTTTTTCTCTTTAAGAAAAATTATTTTCTCTCTTTAAATCAAAGTGCATCGGTAGAGCAGTTTAAGTATAAATACTATTTATGGATTTATTTTCCATTAACATGGTTTCAAAGCCTAAATAGGTAGTTTAACAATCAGAAAGAGAAAAACACGCCGTGTACCTTTCTGAGTCCTTCCACAAGTACAAACATTCTACATAATAGATGTGGAGTCGCGGTGCACTTCGCTGCCCACGCATGGTTGATCTTTTTGGAAAGGAAAGCTAAAAGGCTCTTCTCTGCTTGTCCTGAGAAACTCGAGACGCTGATGGGTTTGGGCTGAGATTTTGATGCCTGAGTTCTTTGCTTTGAGAGTGTTGATCTGTAGTTCAGAGCGCCTGTGTTCTGTCAGGAACGTTCACCCACATGCCAACTCCTTGAAACATACGTGCAGCAGAGAAAGTCTGAAAGGACTTGGCCATGAACATGTGCCTGGTTTAGAGACCAGCCAACCCTTTAGGGGAACACAAAGCTTCCTCTGCTTGTTGACAGAGGGTACAGGGAGAAGAATGTCTCCTTTGGGGCACATGTTCACCACGGGGCTGTATTCAGCTGTCATGGGTACAAATGTATGCATGTCCCTGCTAACAGACCAGAACCTTCCGATTTCCAAGAAGGAAGAAGGGAATGAGGCGATGTTGGTACATCAATCTACCATAGTGCCTCTTTGCTCCCATGCTCCAGGGCCCTGAGCAGATTTTTTAGGCATCTTTTCAAGTGAAGACAGTAGTTAATACATTAGTGGCTGTGGGCTCAGGCTTTAGAAAAGGCAAACACCCTTCTTCAGGAACACTAGAAAAGCCATTTAACTTTTTTAAGCCAGTGCTGCTCGAAGTGTCTCCCATAAACCAACAGCAGCGGCATCACCTAAGCTTGTTAGGCATATACATCCTCAGGTCCTCCCCAGACTTATTAAATCAGAGGCTCTTGGAGTTAGGTCCAGGAATCTGTTTTTAAACAAGCCCTCCAGATATATTATATGACTTGCTAAAGTTTTAAATCCACTGCTAAACCTGTTCCTTGATCTCTGGAAAAGAAGGGCATTAAAAACAACAACAACAAAAAGAAAACCTCATGTCTAAAAACCAGGAAGCTTTAAGAACATTAATAATTGATACACTTAAGTGTGTGTAATTTCAGGAGATGCAAATTTCTTGTAAATGACACATAAACCACAAACCATAGAGGGGAAAATATATATATTGAACTTCATGAAAATTAAAAGCATCTATTCATCAAAAAAACACAACTAAGAAAATAGCCCACAGACTAGGAGAAAATACAACACATGTATCTAACATATACAAGAAAAGGCACTTCATAAAAACAAGATATGGAATGGCCAATAAGCATTAGCAGTGGTGTTTAACATAATTTGTTGTCAGGGAAATGCAAATTCAAGACACAAGGCGATACCACTACACACTCATCAGAATGGCTAAAATTTAACGTGGAACATGGAACACTAGTCAACAATAAAAAGAAATGCTCTTCTGATAAATGTAATAACATAGATGGATCTCAGACACAGTTTGATAAGTAAAAGAAGTCAAACACCAAAAAACAATTACTTATTTTATGATGTATATGAAATTATAGACTAGTCATAACTAATCTATGATGATGGGAATCAGGTCAGTGCTTGCCCTGTTGGAGATTCTCTGGGAAAGATATTGAGAGAAATTTCTGGAGTGATGGGCGTGTTCTGCATCTTGATTTGCACACATCCCTTAAATGGTAAATTCACTAAGCTATTCACTACACGTAAATTTTGTATGTAAAACTACATAAAACATAAAAAAACAACTTCCGTTTATTGAGTACTTTGTCAAAAGTGCTATTCTGAATATGTATAAAGTCATTTCAGTTTTTGAAAGGACTCTGGAGTTGGTATTATTACTCCTAATTTACAGATGTGGAAACTGTTACTAAGAAAAGTAAGATAACTTGCTTGGTTACAGAAGCAGAATTCAAGAGCAGCTGCATTTATTTCCAAAGCATGTCTTAAGAAATGAATCATGTTTTACCTTTGGCATAAGTGCCCCTCCTTTGATTTTAATTCAGGATCAAGTGTGAGGCAACGGTCCCTGGAAGAGGCTTCCAGAATGGCCAGTGAAGGACAGTGGTTATTCATTGATGAACTGTATATTTTTCTGGTAACTTCAGGGAGGGGAGATAAAATATTAATAGCAAATATTACTCCTGTCCTCGGGGATCATTGAGTTAAAGCACTCGAACACAGATCTGTTTTCTCAGCGTGATCTTTATTATGAAACATATAAGCAGTAGTATCAGAAACTATAAAACGTGTAGTTTAGAAAACATTCTATCATGACTGGCAGAGGCAGTGTCATTTCACAGAGAGCCCTAGAGTGAGGCCGCCTGGGTTCCAGTGCAGGCTCCTCCTGTTCTGGATATGTGACCAATGGCCAGTCACTGAGCTGCTCCCAGCCTCCGCTTCTTCATCAGTAGGACGGAGGTGATTCTCATGCCTCCTTAACACATTGTTTGCGGGAAACGAGTAAACTCGTCGTATAGAGAAAAATGCCCGCTTACAAAGTGTTAATATACTTAAAGTGAGGATTAAATAAAACTGTGCTTGCCAAGTATGCTGGTTCCTTATAATCCCTGGATAAATATTAAGTTGCTGTTTTTGGTTTTAGAGATCCTATGAGCGATGACACGCCTAAGCACGAGAATGACATGATACTCCGTTTTATGTGGCGTCTCAGAGTCACTGTATATCTATGCATTCACTTAACTTCAGCTGAAAGCAAAATGCTGTAGTTTTCTAAAAACTTTTTATTACAAGAATTTGGAGACGCTGAAATAAGTTGCCCTTGTGGGGAAAAAAAAAAAAAGAGCATTTAATATGTCAGAAATTGCATTGAGGAAAAACTGTCATTAAATGTAGATGTTAAATTTTATCTGAGCAGAGTGATTGAAAGGGAGCCTAAAACTACTTAGCACCCTTAACGGATGAGCTACAAGGTTAATTGTCTTGAGAAGGGACACTGAAGAACTGAATTCCTTTACGTACCTCCCCAATTTGTGATACTGTCATTAGTGTTCATGAGACTTGGGCATATGTCTTTATTGTAGCTGTGCTTTTTAAAGGCTCAGTTTCCATAGTAAAGTTTAAAAGCCAGAGATATTACATATGTGCAAGCTAACAGTACTTTTTCTAGAAAGTACAAGTTAGTCTATTACCAACCTGCTATATAAGTAAGAAAATCTCTATACACCTACCTCCAAAAATGTTATTAAAAGGAAACTGCTTTTGAGGATAGTTTTTGTCATTGTTTCTGATTGTCACCACTAAGAGGTGTGGGAAGGTGGGTGGCTTAGGAGAAGAGGCCTCAGAATACTGTCTGAGGGATGTGTGTGTGTCCAAATGCGTGTTTGCCTCTTTGCGATCCTTCTCATCAACAGTCGTATGCCCGGTTCTGTGCTGCTGTCAGTGTTCACATGGAT